AACTTTCTTTTAATTTAATGTCAATTCAGTGCATACTTGTAAGATTCCACAAACTCATCTTTAATTATCGCATTCTTATGTGGAAGAACCTGTCTTTTAGAAATGGTTTTTATTTGTTGATGTTACCTTCGATTTTGTTATTAAATGATTAAGATATTCTCGAATTAGGTTTCACATGTTGAAATCAATTTTTTTTTTTAATTACACACATTTGCGTGGAAGAGTTTATGAAACAATTTTTTTTCTAAAAGAATTTAAAATTTATATAATTTAAAAAACGTATAAAGTGAGATTTGAATTTTAAATTTTTTCATTGGAAATTCAAGGTTATTATCATTTAGCCATTCCTTGGGGTTGAAGTTTACATAATTTTATCAACCGATTATTTTGTTTATTTGAATACAACAAAGCCTCAAATCATATTTCTCCAATTTCTCTTTATCAAATATAAGGAAAGGGTCAAAAAAATGGAACTATTTCCTCTTCAAAACGGTACTTAATTAGCACTACTTGCTATTTCTATGTAAACTTCAACTAGCAGGCCAAACCCTTCTCCACTCTTGATGTGACTGATGCATGGGACTCAGCAACGCAATAAGAAGTAACGATTGCAGAGGATACAGAACCCATGTGCAAGATTTATTGATCTTCTGCCTTTTGCTACGTGGAAAACATACGTAGACAATTGTTGGATGTTTTATAGAATTATTTGATAACGTGGTCCAATCTTCATTGCAATTTCCTCTCCATCGCTATTCGTCGTTCTACATGTCATATATTATCCTTTTTATACGAGCCATAGCCTCTGAAGTGGCAAAAATAAAACAAGATTTCAAGAGAAATACAGGGATCACAAATTTTTTCCATAAAATCATAATTTGTTATCTCTATTATTTTTGTCATCAAAAGGTCTCTGCGCAATGAAACTAGTTCTCCTTCTTCACTAAATATCTCTGCCCATAAGTCAAGAACATTGATTTGAATAAAAAAAAAACTTTAATCACTTAAGCAATTGATTTTGATTTCAAATATTTTTATATACGTAAAAATTTTTTAAAAAATTTATCCGTTTCTAAGGAATTAGTCTAAGGTTTAGGATTTAAAATATCCTAAGGATATAAAAAAAAACCTCTCTAGCCACTATTTCAAGAGTCAAGTATTAAATTTAATATTTTATAATAAGTGGTTCATTCTTAACTTTATTTATTATTTATCTCATTTTTAGGGTTTGTCAAGCATTTATAGTAGATGGATTATTCTCAATTTTATATATTACTCTTTTATTTTTTATTTATTCTAAATTTGCTTTGTGTGTCATAAATTTACTAGATAATTTTCATGAGGTACTGTGAAGTTATCTAAAATTGTGAACGGTAAAGTATAACAAAAAAAAAAAAAATCTGAAGAAATTTGGTATAGAAAAACAATTTTTATTCAGAGAGCATAGTTAAAAAAAAAAATGTAATATACTTTGTTATCTTAAATTCGTAACGTAAAATTGTATTCTCTCTCTGCTAGGTTTGGCTGGTTCTGACACTGTTTGGAAATCATAATGTTTTGGAGCAGCAAGGAAGTTACATTTTGTCATTCATCTTCGTACCACATTTTTTTTAGTCGATAAGGAGTTGATTGCCTGCGCACAACTTAAGAGGTTGAAAAGAAAATCATTTACGTTTGATAATTTATGTATATTGTGGATCTATCAAATAAGATTTTTTTACATAATTTATAATTTTTTAATCAAAATTTTATATTTGATTAATTTTTTTTTGTTTTTCATAATTTTTTTAGATAAAAAAAATGATATAATGATTCTAAAATAAAAGCTTGTAATAACATAAATTAAAAATTTTATCCAAAACTCAGGCAACTTTCTTTCTTTCAAATCTAATTTTTTAACTTCAAATTAAGTACTTTACTACCATGGATTAATGCTTGATGGACAAAACATGTGAAACAAATTATGAGCACCATCAATGCAAGATTACAAATGTCATAGATTGAAGGATAAATCAAATTTTGAGGCTTTTGATGGTGATATTAAGTTGAAGTCATGGAGCTAATTGCAATTAAACCCTGTTGAAGCTTTGCATACTTTTACACTCCTTATAGCAACTTTTTTTTCCTTTGCCTTATATTATTTGCATAATAATCAGCTATTATACATTTTTTAGGCTGAATTGAGGACACTAGATGTATGATTTCTGATTTACTAAGATAAAAATAATAATAATAAATAAATAAATAGTTTAATCTATTATTACATCATAAGGTAATTCTTTAATCTTTCCTTATATCTTTAATCAAATCTATTTTATTCTTTAAGTATATGTTAAATTTTCATTCTACTATTTTATCAAGATTTTTAAGTTAATCTAACAGAATTATTCACATAATTTGTACATGATTAACTTTTATTCTCAATCAAGTATAAGGTTTTGATGTGTAAATCGTGTGATTAATTTCAGTAATTTAGCTTTAAAATCTTCATAGAAAAATAGATTATATATTTAATGTATATTTAAAGATAAAATTAGCTCAAAGATGGATATAAAAATAGATTTTGAAAATTATTTTATTATATAAAGACAAATTAAGTCCTTAACTCAAAAAAATTATAAAGTACATGAAACCTAGCTAGGCTTTAACAAGGAAAGGAGATGAATAAAGGGAAAATGTTGATAGCCATTTGGTTTTGCTGCAACAATAAGTTGAATGTTTGCTTGATTATTACTCTTCGGTAATTTTGCAGCAATCTTTTTATTCTTTCTTGATGATGGAAATAATTAAAAGTGATTCCTTTTCTTTTTGTAAAAGAAGCAAAGGGAGGGTCACCTTTTACTTTACAAAAACACTCACAACATCTTTCGCGAGGCACACTTTATTACAAGCATTTTTCCTTTTGCATGTAATTGGGTGGAATCGGTTTGTAAAAGAATGATGAAGAGCGCACAATCCGATAATAGCCATCAGTGTAATTGAATGTGAATTTAGTAATTTAGTTTTATTATTCTATTCAAAATAGACAATCATTAGACATCGATATCGTGTCGTCAAAGTATTAGTTTTGTAGCAAATCTTAAAGTGTAGTTTGGATGTTAAAAATGAAAAATTTGAAATTAAATTGAAAGAATTAGATAGAAAATTAAGAAATTAAAATGAAATATCAGCACTATATTTGCAATGATAACAAAAAATAGGGATTAAAAAAATAATTCTGTGAATGATGGTATGGCAATAAATTGTAACAAAAATTGTGAGGATTGATGGCTAAGGAGTAAAGACGGTAGTAATATATAATGGTTATACTTAGCTTTTTTAACTCATGTTATCTTACAAATTGGACAGAATATATAAAATTATTTTTAAAAAATTATTCTAATTTGATGTTCTATATTATATTATGTACATATTAAAATATATCAAAATCGAATAGAAATTCATTCTATTTTATAATTTTTTAATCAAAATTTTTGATTTGATTGATTATTCTTTATATTTTTCTATAAATTTTCGAACCATTATTTATTTAACTCTAAAAAATAATATTTTTTTAAAAATCAAAATATAATATTATAAAAAATTTTTATAATAAATATCTTTAAAATGTTTGAAAACTATAAAAATACTATTACATAGTGAAATGTATTTGATTTTTTAATGAATCATGCCGAATGAGTATTTTAAATAATATAATAAATAATAATTAATCATTGTATTATTTTTTTAGTAATAATAATAATAATATATTAAAAAAAAGGTAAATGTGAGGTGGCAGTGGAGTGAGTGATGTTGGTGGTAATAATAATAATAATAATAATAATGAGAAGAATAATATATCTTTACGATAAAGAAGGCCATTGTCATTCCCAAAAATGGTAAAAGAAAAGAAATAAAGAAAAAGAAAATAAAAACACAGTTGCGTTTGTATTTCAACATCATCTAGCTAACCATACATTTGAGTAATTACTTTCTTAATGCCCTTCCCTTCATCCCAGTGTCCTCTCTTCTGTTATAAAGACTCTATTTTTCTACCCGCAATGGTTGATTTGAATAAAAAAAAATTAATTATTTAAATAAATATTTTTGAATTTTTGAATATATATATATATATATATATATATATATATATATATATATATAGCAAAAAACTCTTTAAATAGTGCCAGAGGATAGAAAAAAAAGAGTACTTTTCTCATGAAATTAAAATTAAAAATCTACAATTAAATTAATTAGTTTTCTATTTTTATAAAATCTCCACGCTGTTGCTATGAGTATTAATTATTTATACGCTCGCACATTTGTATAATTCAACTTGAAGAGTTACGCAGTTGAATATGCTCTTCCAAAACTGCAAAAAAAAAAAATAATAATAAATAAAAAATAACAATAAAATATTTGCTAGAGGTCACACATTTACGTATTTAGCCCCTCCTCTCTGAATCAAAACTCCATCAATCTTTTCTTCGACAGAGAACTGTATTAATCTAAAGCAAAGTTTATTTATAAATATTAATTCTTTATCCTAGCAGCCTACTCTAATAATAGCAAATATCCTATGTAGGAGTCAATAATGAAATCAAAGTGAAAGAGAACAATCCACAAGAATAATGGGATATCCTTCAAAATTTTCAAACAAGCAGCAGCTCCATCATTACATCCACTTCACCTTAACCGAAAAAGGATGAAGAAGAAGAAGAAGAAGAAGAAGAAGAAGAAACCCATTTAAATTTTTTCTTAAGAAAGACAAAGGTCTCAAAATTCCATAACCATACCATAATGTACACTTTAATTATTAAAAATGTCAAAAATTCCTACAAACAAAGAAAAAAAGAAGCTGAATCCTCAATCTCATGTGAAGAAATCATCCCTCTCCTCACAACATAATTCAACACATAACCAGATTATTAACAAAAGAAAGAACGAAAGAAAGAAGTACAAGATAAAGCAGCCGTCTTGGAATCATCGATGAAGCAGCTACAGCAACTTCTTTGTCTTTATTAATGATATAATTCCAACCGTCTGGAACACAAGGTACAAAAATACTTTCTGTTAGCCTTGTAGCAGATGGGCAAGAAACAGAACCTCCACCGGCTCTCAAAATCCACGGCTTGTACTTTACCTCCACAGTATGGACATGACCCCGAAGCTTGTTGCCTGCCTAACTCCTTCTCTTCTTCATCACATAAAAACACAAAACACATCTCTGCTGTTCTGTCTCTTTCTTTTCTGGCTCGAGCTAGTTTGCTTTGCTTTGCTTGCTTGCTGATCTGAGATTGGGACTGTTTGCTTTGAGTTTTGAAGTTGAAAGCGTAAAATTAAGAAAAGGATAAGCGAGGAGTCTTGTAAGCGTCAGGGAGCATTTATAAGAGGATGTCCGGTTCAGATTGGTTGGCTGATAGAAATTAGAGAATCACGTGACGGAAGCTTTTTGCCTTCCTGTTCAGTTTTGTAACAAATTTCTCGAGGTCCCCTACCACCATTAAATGGACATAGTTTGTTTTGGCCCACTTTGATTTAACTCAGATAATCATTAGTTTTACCTTATTTTTATTATTTTTGAAAAAAATAATTCTTACGTAAAAAATAACTAATAATACTTCACTTAATTGGAGAAATAGACAAAAAATTAAATAAAAGAAAAAATTAAATAAAATGAGTTTAAATAAAAATATTCTTATAATTTTTAGTAAAGCTCAATCCGACTCTTCATTATATCTATTTCTTTTATTAAAATAGGTTATAAAATAAGTATTATTAGTTAATTATAAATATTTTAAAATTTCTCTTTTACTTAGAGGTAAAAAAAGGTTAATTTAAGCCTTCGGTTAAAAGAAAAATTAAATGTTTGATCCATAGGCATGAATAAACATTGAGAAATAGTACCTACAAAGTTATATATATATATATATTGGTTTATTGTGTAGATCAAAATTTTATCGATATTTATATCGACAATACATCATTTGTTTCATCATAGAATTTACGAAACTACTATAGAAACCATTATTGCTTGAGCTATCAAAGAATATTGGTTGTGTGATAAAAAATAAGAGAATTTAGATTTCGTTTTGAATACACAAAAAAAAAAAAAAAAAAGGGGGGGATTACTTGAGGTTTGAGGAGTAAATTATAAATTATTTCTTCTATTTTCGAGAAATAAATACATAAATAAATAAATTTATTTATCAATATTCATCATGTTTAATTTAAATATTATTTTATTTCATAAAATATTATATTTTATCCTTTATATTTTTTTCTATCTCTTAAAAAAAGTAAAAAAAAAAAAGTATAAACAAATTTAAAAATATAAAAACTAAATAATTAGGTTTAAAAAAAAAATTCATTCATTCATTTCTAGATACTAACAACAAGGACTAATTTATAATTTACTAGTCTCGAGGTTTAATTAGGTTGGACACATGGATTAGGTCAAAAAAATATTAATCTATGATATAAACAAAACACTTTAAAAAAATCATCACTAAAGTTAAATTAAATTGTGGTCAATAGGGTGGAGGAGGATCACAAAGACTAACTTGGCAACCAAAACCGACCGATATTGAATAATTCATGAATTTTTAGTCCTTTTAGAGTTTAGAACTTTACATCTAAGTGAATCAACATTGAAATTTAAAAAATAACTTAAATAACTTTTTTTTCTTTTTAACGAGTCATGGGCTAAATCTTTAGTGCCTATGTATATACTACATTTTCTAATCATGATCTTCTATATTTATAGACTCATATGACTCGAAAATTAAACAAAAAAAGTGAAATTCATGGTATCAATATGGCTTTAACGGCCAGATCTCATCATTTTGGTCGAAATAAGTTATATGTATTAAAATTAAAAATTTTACGGAAATTATGCTTCTTCAAAACGTGACCTAAAACTGTTATAAATCGTGAAAGCTTAGAGGCATTGTTAAGAAAATAATAACTTTAACTACCAAAATTTTTAAATTTTGATCAAAAAAAGTTACATATCACCACCAAGGGATGTGGTTTAGCAAGAAAAACATTGTTTCGTTTTATCAAAATTAAAATTCAATTATGCTACCCACAATAACTAATCACAATTATTTTTTTAATAATATCATATTTAGATTCATTTAATTTTAAAAAAATTCAATAGCTAACTAAAATCTAAATATGTTCTGATATTGATTTAGCTTAAAAAGTAATCGATTTGATATCTCTTAACATCTCTTAACGTGAATGCTGACATATATATATATATATATATAAAAGTTATTGTATATCAAAATTAAATAATTTTTTAAATTTGACGTAAAATTCAAATTGTGATAGCATAACTTGTTTGAAAAGGAATAGACATACATAATTTATTGTTTCCAACCAGATGGAAGACATACATTTGATTTGAGTATACGAGAAAAGATATGAGAATATTATCTATTTTCAAACAAGAAAAAGAAAACGAAAGTAGGGGGAAGATGAGTTGATCTGGACGCAGTTAGAGGCATGAGGTGTGGCATCGTCAAGGAATCCAACCTAACAATGAAGAAAAGTCATTCAACCACGTTTCAAATTTTTGGTATAACTTGTTGAAATCACACACCCCAATTGAATCTTGCCCATCACATCGCATCATCTGAAATAGAAAAGCAGAATCAAACCACTCCTTCTGCTGCTTGTCCTAATCACCTAGCGTGTTGCACGAGTAAATTATAAATTAGACCTTCTAGTTTTTTTAAAAAAATAAATAGTCCCTGTAGTTTTAATAACTAATTAATTAGTCTTTATATTTTTAAATTGATAAGTAAACTTAATACCTTTTATTGTTAGATTAATCCCAAGATTTATCTTTATATTCTTCAAATTTTTTAATATGGCCTTTGCAATCTTATTTTTATTTATGGCGTCCCTTGAGTCTTTAAATTTTATTAACGTGACTCTTTTGGTAGGATTCCATCCAAAATTTTCGGAAAAAATAACAAGTGGATTGACATATCATGTATAACTGACACGTGAGATAAAATGTTTCACTGCATGTTATTTTTATATAACATTTCATTTCACTAGTCATTTGTTATCGAAAAATTAACTGAAATATTATTAGAAGAATTACATTAAAAAAATATTTAGAATAAAAAGATAAACAAAACAAGAATAAAAGAGTTGTATTAAGAAAATATCAAGATTACGAAGACTAATTATGCAATTAATCTATTTTTTTCAATTTTTTTTAATAAATAGAAAATGGAAGAAATAAATGAAAATATAGAAATATTGATTAAAAAAAAGAAGAAGACAATGTTTGAAAGAGAATGATATTAAATTAACCATGATGATCAAGAAATTAATTAATTATTTTTTAAAATAAGAAAAAAAAACTATCTAATACCTTTATAAAACTAGAGAGACTAATTAATAATTTGCTCTGGATTCCACTGAACCTTAATCTTATTGATCCTACATATGATCTAGACGGCCCAGATTCAACCGACGAGGACATGCTATTTATTTTTTTTTCGTTGCTGTTCTTTTAGTAGGCGCACGCCAAGGATTGTTTCCAAGTAGCTTACAGGGCAGCTAACGTGGCGGTGTAAAAGGACAAAAAGCAGCGCAGTTTGCTTTCTTGAATCGAAGAACCAACCGTAGAAGCTTCTCGGAATGACGTGGCTGTGATTTGCCGACGAAAGACAAAGGTTGAACGTTTTTATTCAGTCGTTTACTAGTTTTTAAGACGGATGTGTTTTCGGTGGTTAATGATCCACGTCATTTCCCGAAAAACGTATCTAGCTAACCTTCTTCCCCTTTTTTTTTTTTTTTTTTGGCCCTTTTCATATAGGGAAGTTCAATTATCATTTGCATGAGTAAGGGTGGAGTAAATTTTAAATTAGTTCCTCTAGTTTTAAGAAACAGTTTAATTAGTTTTTCGTGTTTCAAAAATTAATATTTAATTCTTTAAACAGTATTAAATATATTTAATTTAATATTATTTTTATTTCATAAAATTTATTATTTTCTTATTAATGTTTTTTATATTTTTTTTCTTCTATTTTTTGAAATAAAAAATCAAAATAAATAAAAAATGAGTAAAAAAAACTAAATCACATGTAGATTTAAAAACATGAGGATTAAATAGTTAGTTTTTAAAATAAGAAGGAGTAATTAATTTATTTTTTAAAATGAGATGGACTAGTTTATAATTAACTCTTGAGATAAGGGGTGAGTATTCATTTTTTTTTCGGTTTTTAATAATTTTTTTTTTTAGTTTTCAGTTAACTAAATCAACAAAAACTATATTTTTTTATTTGTTAAAAATAATATAAATATTTTAAAAACACCATCAATCCATCACACACACATATATAATGAAAAAAAAATAGATTCGGCTTCCTTTTTAATTTTTGAATTTAAAAACCAAATCGAAATTGGTACGTCGGTTTCAATTCGATTCGATTTTTTAATTTAAATCAAATAGTGCTTGCAGTTAAGTAGTACAGTGGTATTTTTGTTTTTACAAATAGAGAGGTGGAGATGGATAAAAAAATGTCTTAACTTGTTCGATTGTAAAATGATAGATAAGATATTATTCGACTAAATGGATGCTTAGTTTTTTTTTAATAATCTTGTGTCATCACTTGTCCTAGTTTAATAATCTCTATAGATGAATGGTTTCAACACCTTTATGTTGAACTTTTGAAAGATGAAAATATATGGAAATCGTAATTTTTAGATGTGTTTGTGTCGCTGGAGACTAAATTGATTGTTATTATGACAAAAAATAGGTTTAAGTTTATCATTTGAAGGAAGTTTATAGGATTTTCTGATTGTCAATCTAATCAAAGTTATGGTATTTTACAGTTTTTTAACCACATAAATTCTCCTTGCTCACACAATTACAACCCATGGTTAGTGTGATCGTTATGCAACTAACTTTGTACTTTAAAAAAATTATTTAAGGTTGAAAAATGGAGTTCAAGACAACTTTTCCATCCTTTGAAAAAGAAATAATAATAATAAAAACTGGAATAAAAAATGTTTTTTTTTTTTCAGATTCAATGACCTATTATATAATCATTTTGACTTCGAATATATAAATAAAAAAAATCAATAAGAAATAAAATTTCCGTAATATACAAATTTATGTAAGCAAGACAGAAAACGTGCAAATGAAAGAACAAGAGAAAGTTATACCACCAAATAATCCCTCTCCCTTTTTTTTGTT